ACTCCCAGAATTCCCCGGCGAGCTGGGGAATTCTGGGAGTTGAAGTCCACACATCTTCAAGTGGCCAAGGTTGAGAAACATTGCCCCAAAGAGTTTAATTAGTATATTTTTCTAAACAAACTATATTTACTCATGTTCATCTTTGTTTATGGCTTAGTCTGAATGACTTCCCTTGCTAACAACTCTCGGAGCGAAATTCCAAGTTCGGTAAAGAGTTTGGTGACTCGAGGGGATTTACCTTGAGAACTGTATAGGCGTCACCTTCACCATAAGAATAGAAATCGGTTTGGTAGCGGATACCGTCCACAATGATCTTTTTGGGAGGTGTACAGGGGTTCGTGTCCGGGTCTTCCAAATTCTCACCTCCATAGTAGTAGCCACTGAGGTCTTTTAGAGGCAGCAAATCATACACCTGAAAACAACAGAATCCCAGGTTAGTATGTCGGAAAATGATAAAACCTCCTCTGAGACGCACTGGCCTCCTGGTGACGACGTGCGCACGTATTGTGACCATTCAACTTCTAGCCCACCTTGATTTTGTACAATTCAAAATACCTAATGCTCCCCTCTCCTATTTTCCCCACAACAACAACCCTGTAAGGTGGGTTGGGCTGCGAGAGAGAGAGAGAGAGAGAGAGAGAGAGAGAGAGAGTGGCCCAAAGTCATCTAGCTGGCTTTCGTGTCCAGGAAGGACTAGAATTCAAGCTCTCCTGGTTTCTAGGTCAACCCCTTCACTACTACACCACACTGGCTCTCAAGAGCTTCCCTGGCAACAGTACAACAGTGTCTTGCCACTGCCTTCTTCCAGCATGTGTTTTCCATCTACAGCCCAAGGGTTCCCTGGTGGTCTCCCATCCAAACACTAATCAGGTCCAACCCTGCTTAGCTTCTTTAGATCAGGCAAAGTCAGCTAGGGGGAGAAGCATTTCATCTGGTGAAATCTAAAAGTGGCACCAAGGCCCCATCACTTATGACTAATACTTGTCCCTTCTAGGGATCTGAGGGATCCAATTATATTTGAAGAGAGCCCCTTTGTGTAAAGGTTAAAAGTGCTGGATTAGAAGCCAGAAGGATGCGAGTCTCTAGTCCTGCCACAGGCATGAAGCCAGCAAAAGGGATGTGGGCCTGGGCTGTCTCTCCCAGCCCTAGGATGGAGGAGGCGAGGGCAAACTGCTTCGGAAAATGTTGCCAAGAAACTCATCCACAGAGTTGCCAGGAGTGAAGACTGACTCAAAGGCACAAAGAAGAAAAGAAAGTTGAAAATATTGGTCCTTATGCATTTCAAGCTATTTTTAAGGAGCTGATTGCCACAAACTTCTCCTGCCCTTTAATTTGCTTGCTTATCCTCTGATTCAAGAATGCTCTTTTTTTGGGGGGGGGGGGCTCATTTGGAGTTTTAAAATAATATCACATGCGATGCCCCAAATGCGTGATGTGGGCTAAGCTTGCATATAAGTAGCCCTCACTTATCAACCGCAGTTGGGCCTGGCAACTCCATCGCTAAGCGATGCAGTTAAGTGAAACATCACGTAACAGCACCTGACTTACATCCATTCTGGCTGCAGTCGTAAAGCACATCACCTGCAGTCATTATGCGCAATGTCATGTGACCATGACTTGCGACTTCCTGCCGGCTTTCCCATTGATTTCGCTTGTTGGAAGCTGGCAGTGAAATTTGCAAATGGTGATTACGTGTCCGCAGGATGCTGTGACTGTTGTAAATGTGTACCAGTTGCCAAGTGCCAAAATCACAATCATGTGACCACGGGGATGCTGCGACAGCCACAACTTCAAGGGCTGGTTGTAAGTCTCCTTTTTCAGCACCGTCATAACTTTGAACAGTTGCTGAACGAGTAGTCGGTAAGTGAGGACTATCTGTATTCACAAAATGGCTGCCAAGGTGAGCCTGGTAACCACCAAACCTGCAACCCCCAGGAGCCAGATGCTGCCCTCAGCTACATCCTCCAGATCCCCAAGAGGCTGCCTGTCAACCTGGCTTATTTTTCTCTCTTTCTTTCCCAGAAAGTGGGCATATTCCCAACAATGGTTGGAACGCTGGCACTACCCACCCCTCCTTTGCTAAGAATGCCTACGGGCTCCATGAAACTGCTCCTTTGCTTTTGCAGCAGACAGGCTGAATTGTTCTAAGGGAAAATTCAAGTCTGGTGAGGCAGGGGTATCCTAGGCTCCCCTTTATCTGATGCTGGGAGTTCAATCCACCCCACTGGCAGAGACTTGGTGGGGGCAGAGCAGAAGGGCTCGGCGATCCACAGCCCGCCAGGACCTGCAAGGCAACTCGGCCTCACCGTTCGAGAAGAAAGTTCCGCTCCCGGCTTCAGGAGGTAGACGCTCTCGTCAACCGCATGGACAGCACAGAGGGAGTCACCCGCAGCTGCAAGATGGAGGTTTATGTGGCTGCCAGGCAGGCCTTTGCGCTCAGCAAACTCTAGATTCACCTGAACAACAGGAAAAGGCAGTGTGTTCATCACCACAACATCCACAAACTCATTCTGGAATCTGTTTCCTTTCTAAGGCTGCCAATATTTTATCAGTCTGTTTGATCAGGAAGAGGACCTTGCCTGTTGCTTTTCAGAGACACCCCCCCTCCTACTGCAAGTGCTGCCTGAAGCCCCCCAACACCTTTCCTTCTCCATTTAATCCAAAGGAGGTGGGCAGCTCTAAAACAATGGAATGAAAGATCTTGTAACCAGAACCCATGATAAAGCTAAAAAGGAAAAAAAAAACAGAGCAATCTCTCTGCAAAGTGAGGGAGAAGGTGCAAGAAGGTGGTGACCCTCCTAATGGGGACCCTGCCCTTCCCCTTTCGCTGTGCACTGTAGGATGAACTCCTGCTCCATCTGGGCCTCCCTCCCTCCTCCCATGCAGGTTCTGCATAGGCCTTCTGTCTGTGCACTGATGGGAATACCAGTCTTCTGGGAAATGGGCAGTCGGTCTTCCAGAAGGCTGTTATTCCCACAAGCAAATGCCACACAGCCTGTGGAGGTGAGGTCCTCCAGCTAGATGGAAGGGGAGATCTGCAGTGGGTTCCTTGAAGCCCTGCAGGTCACCAACCTCCCTTAGGCCCTTCCTCTGCATCGTATAGAACATCTAGGCAGGCGTCTTCTGGGGAAAACACCACCTTTCCATCGAATCACCTTGACTGGGCTTCAGTCTGTCTTAGCAGCAGGCTGGCAATGAGATGGACATCCTCAGTGAAGACATGTCCTCTCCACGTGGTAACGGGTGGGGGGCATCTTTGGAGCAAGGAGGGGGTGTGGATGAAGCCTGTTGGCACCCTTACCTTATTGGAGAAACAGGTTTCAACAGGAAAATCTGCAGAGTGCGCCACGAGTTCTCCATTATCCAATATTGTGTACAGCAACAAGCGGGCCAAAGGAGCAGTCTTGATATCCACAGAGAGATCCAGGGTAAATACTCCTGGTTAAATAACAGACATTTCAGGAAGACTGAGCAACTACAAAGAATTGAGGCCAGGGGGATACATTTGGAAGAGTTCCGTTCCCAGGGGACTGTGAGTGCGGCCAAAGATAGCAATGACAACCTCAGAGAAGCCCTGCCGACATGCCTAACCTGCCAAGACAGGCATTGACCTGTCCACTGAGACAATGAACCACCAACCAGACTTTGGTCTGCATTTCCACCCTGAGCACGCAGGAAAGACTGAATGAAGCCTGGGGAGACAGAGGCAGGACAGACTGATCGAAATCAAGAGCAATCAGAGAAGTCCCCTGTTGCGCTTTGCGTTGAAAGTACTTGTGGGGAAAACTGTAGAGCGGCATCTTCAAGGCGTAGAAATGTGGAGCCTGAGCAAATTTATTTATTTATTTATTTATTAAATTTTTCAACCGCCCATCTCCCCCCAATGGGTAAACTGGTAACCATATCAGAGGCATCCACAGAGAGGGTCAAAATTGTCAAGGTGCCAGCCACAATCGTGCAATCAAAGTTGCTGTCTTGGCTTTTTTGACATCCTACCGGCCTTGCGAGGTAGCCCAGACCATAAGCACCCCCAGAAGTACTAGCTGTATCTTTATTGTAAGGTTACATGAACAGAAACTTCCAAATCTGAAAGGACGTCTCCCCCCTCGCCTTTACAGCTCAGGACTAGGGAGGGTCCCTTCTGAGTCATTTGCCGCTCTCCCATTGTTTCTGTGGGCTCAGCTGCCTCTTATCTGATCATCTGCAGCTCTTCCTCTTGTCTCCCAAGGTCATTCCCGGATCCCACTACATATCCCTTGCGAAGACCTCTGAACCATTTAGAATAAATGTGTAAGATATATTTTGGCCTTCCCACCTAATTGCCAACTGCTTTCTTAAGAGTGGAGGTGAGGCGTCAACATTTCATCATAGGCTATATATTTCTTTAAAGACTGATGGGTGTACCCAGCTATCGTCTGGCCAAATTTATTATTAGAATGATGTGGCTGGAATGGTTTGGTGCAACTTCGTATAGAGGGGTAGACAGGATGTGGTCCCAAAAGAGGGCAGCCCTGCCCGTGTGATCAAAGCTGTGCCTGTTTTTGACTGTACCCCGCAGATACCCCTGAGCTTGTACAAGGGGACTCTTTTAATGCACCATTTCATCAGGCTCCTTAAATACAAAATTCAGCGCTGCCTTTATAAAGTGGATCTAAGGAGATAGGAGCATCACCCAGCACATGGGATCCTCCATGGAGTGCCATTTATTTGCCACAAATGACTTTGCCTGATTTCAGAAAAACTAAGCAGAGTTGAAACTGAGTAGCATTTAGATGGGAGATGCACTTTAAAAAGGCAAGGGTTCAATTGTATGGTGACAGCTACCATCTTGGCTCCCCGCAGACACCCTGTTCCAAGTCCCTGCTTGACTTAAGGACATTGATTTATAGACTGATCCTTGGCTTGTTCCTTTTTTGCCCACCAGCGAGGTCTGCCAGTGAGTTTTGTGCATCAAACAATTATGTCCGCTTGTTATCAGCACTGCAATCACAATGAGGATATTTTCAAATGCATTCTACAGATATGTCTGTGCAATATTCATGCAACGGAGTTGTTGATTAATAAAAGTTCACAGAACCTTCCTGTGTGAATTTTTATGCCATTGGTATAATGGTCATCAAAATGCTACGTTGAATGTACAGGTAGTCCTTGCTTAATGACCGTTCATTTAGTGACCGTTTGAAGTTATGACAGTGCAAAAAAGTGACTTACGACTGGTGCCTGAAGTTATGACTGTCGCAGCGCCCTCGCAGTCATGTGATTGCGATCCGGGCGCTTGGCAACCAGATCACACTTACGATGGTTGTAGCATGCCGGGGTCATGTGGTCGCCATTTATTACCTTCCCAGCGGGCAAGCAAAATCAATGGGGAACCGTGTGATTCACTGAACAACTGCCTGATTTGCTTAATGATCACGTGATTCACTTAACAACTGCTGCAAAAAAGATTGTAAAATCAGGTCTGGTCACATGGTGATTCGCTTAACGACCTAAATTCCAGTCCAGTTGTGGTTGTTAAGTGAGGACTACCTGTACTCTTCAATTTCTATGGTAGGCAAAAACTTTTTGGAGATGAGATTTTATTAGTAGTAGAGAGCAAAAAAGGAATAAAAGTGTTATCCTTTCATCCATTCATTCCCAAAGGAAAGTGGGTAGAGGGAAAATGGGAAGAGGAAGGAAAACATTTTACCTTTATTATGCTTTACTTTTAGGTTGTGAGTATCGGTCTTCACAATCTCCCCTTTTGCCAGCACCTTCATGAAAAAAACAAAAGGACTTGTTGTCAAGGCCCACACAGCTGGCTGTGATCAAAGAAACAAGAACTACCTAGATTTCTCTACGACCGTGTTTTCCAAACTCAGCAACTTTAAGATGGGTGGACTTCAACTTCCAGAATTCAACTCCCATGCTGGCTGGGGAATTCTGGGAATGGAAGTCCACCCATCTTAAAGTTGCCAAGTTTGAAGAACACTGGTCTAAGAGCTTTCATGCTTGTCTGGGGGAAATACAGGATCTTGGAAACTGCAAGAGGAATTTCCCAGCCTCAGTTGTAGTGAGTTAATTAAGTCAGAGTCTTTCTGAATGATATGAAATGCTTCTCCTGGGTTTCCTGCCACCTGGGCCAGGTTGCCCTTCATAAGATAAACTATCAAATGATTTGCTGGCTATCTCTTGATCGTTTCTCTCTCCCTTCAATTCCTTTCCCAGCTTCCCCAATATCTCTTACACTTGTAAGTGCTGTAAATATAAAACCAGTGTAAGAGTCGTATAGCAGCTATGTGTCAATGATTCCTATGCTTGGAAGGCAGGAATTACCCATAAGGTGACAAAGGGAGTGACATTTCTTGATCCCATTTTGGAGTGGTAATCAAGCAGAGGTAACAGCTGGAAATAGGATTCGAATGGCTCCCCTTTGGAAGGAAAAAGTCCTTTGCTTTTTTGTTTTACGGATCTTGCAACAGATCTCCCTTATTTCTAACAGATATTGAAATATTCTGTATTTGCACGGCAAAGACACAATTAAAAGTTGACCTAAAAGGGGTAGGCAATCTTTCAATGGCAAAAAGACACACTTTTCCTGGATGAAGTGGGAATGAGGAGGCTGTAATACCAAAGTAGGTGGAAAAACTATTTTTTTAACTTAAATTAAAAAAAAGAAATGATTTTGAAACTTCCCAACTGAGCCCAAATGAAGCAGCTGGAAGTTTTTAGAGGAGAAATCTCCTAGGGCATGCAAGACCAATCAGCCCTTGGTAAATTATAATTAAGTTCACGAGAATGGACTGTAATCTTATGCACAGATATCAATTAGTCAACAGCTTCTGTTTGCATAAATTGCTGTTGCGATGTTATGCTATGTTACATTACTTTATGTAATAGTACATTCTATTCCAGGGTTTCTCAACCTCATCAACTTTAAGATGTGTGGACTTCAACTCCCAGAAATCCCCAGCCAGCAAGCTGGCTGGGGAATTCTGGGAGTCGAAGTCCACACATCTTAAAGTTGAGAAAGTTGAGA